GTTCGCCCTGTGTTCCCTCCAGGTGTCCAATGAACGTAGCGAGTCTCTGCTTGGCGACTCGTGGCCGGTCTCCTGCGAGGCCGTGTGTAACACCTTTGACGAGGCCAAGGACATGTACACAACAGGCAACTAGGCCGGAACCAAAGGGAGCACAGGGACCGCAGCCTCGGGAACAACAGGCTGGGGTCACGTGACTGCTCAGTTGCGCTCAGTTGGGATCAGTATGCTCAGTACTGAGCACACTGAGCACCACTGAGCAGGCTGAGCAGCCGACGAACATATATACACGGGTTGACACCCGCCTACATAACACTGTAGTCAACTTCGTTAATGCTCTGACCCCTACCTTTGGACTAAGAGCGTTGTTCCACTATCACGCCGTTGCAAGTGACCGCGTGCCCTTCGCCCTCAGCAGACATACAGTTGTTACTCCCCACAAGTAAACCTACTTGGACCGCCTACCGCCTCACGTGGAGCGATTCATAACACTTTAATTACTATCGCCGGTGTTATGTTCTGCCTATCTCATTAGACCATCCCTAACACTAATCCTCCAACGCACCCTGATGTCAGCGCTGCTCCTTTCGACTAACCGGTAAGGGTCAGGTCTCCAGTCACAATGCCCAAGTAGGGGTATGGGGGATACGACACAGGGATGAGGTATAGCAGACGGCTAGGTGTGACAAGGTACTTAAAGGTGGGTCTGAGTAGATGACATGAGTTGGCTACGAGGAGTGTAACTAGACTGTCTGACAATGAGCGTATATATACCCGTGTGCCCTGCACCGCGCTCTGTGGTGCTCTGTTGCTCTGCTAGCAGAGCACCCCAGAGCACCAGAGCACATCACGTGACTCGTGTCCTCAGCCTCGCGCGCGAGGCTACTCTTCCTGTTCCTTCGCTCTACCTTCCGTCCTTGGCTTGTAGAGGGTCGCGTACAAGGTCGTCCTGTAACACCTGACTTTGCTGATACAACTCTTCGATCTTTGTCTTTCGAGATTCGTCCCTCACCTTCAAATCAAACTTGAAAGGCAAAGGCCCACCAATGACATTGCTGGTGAATGCCTTTGAATCTGGCCACTGTGGCTTCCCATCCTGTCCAATGTTAGGCTTCATGGTGAAAGCCCATAAGAGAGAGCCACACGCCACTAACAGCTCTGCTTCGGTGATCTCAATGCCGGGACACATGCGACGTCCACGTCCGAACCCGTGATGGCCCACCAATCGTGGATACACGCTGAGCGGTTCCTTATAGGTCGGATACCCCGGTTCGACCCAACGGCCCGGGTTGTAAGTCTCAGCGTCGGGATATTTGGCGGGATCTCGTGCCATAGCTAAGTCGATGGCATGAACGACAGCGCCTTTCGGAATAAAGTATCCCTCATACGTATCATCTTCCTGGACAAGGCGAGGGACACCAAGCGGAACTGGTGGACGCCAGCGGATACACTCTTTGATGCATGCTCGAAGCAGGGGAAGGTTCGGAGAGTCGCTGAGCTCGACAATACGGTCTCGTCCAACAACTGCATCAATCTCCGCTCGACACTTCTCTTGCCATTCCGGATGAAGAACCATGGCGAGGAAGAAGCAGTACAGTGGACCTCCGATCGTGAATATAGCGACAGTGCAGAGCATGCCAACTGCGTAGGCTGCTTCGTGTTCATCAAATCCGAAGGAACGTCCATCGTCTTTTGCTGCTGCGTCCCTCCTCTCAAAGTATGAACGGGCATATGAGACTGTCGCTGTTCCATTCTCCATCTCTTCTCGAACTTGCCTCATAAGCCCAGTCCATAGTCGTTCTTCACGCTCTCTTCGTTGCCTCGGGGCTATCTTGGCCGTGTTGATCCACTCCGGAAGCGCGCCGAGGAAGGGAAAGATGTTTGTGATAGGTCCACTCGCAGATGGGGAGATCTGAGGAATGAACTCTGCGGCGTTCTTGCAATGAGCTGCTGCGGACTTTGGCGAGCCATAGCTTAGTCTGGCGGAGATCCGACCGCAATATCTGTCAGTTTGGGCAAAATGATCGAGAGGGTCTTTGAGCAGTTGGAAGAGGAAGCGCTTCGCTTCAAGATTGATGTAGCCGTAGTATTCGTTGTTGTAGGACGTGGTCAAAACCGTATGGGCAAACTTTCGTTGCATACGCCAATGGTCTAGACGTGTCAGCGGTGCTAATCGTCAAGGTTTCGACCCACTCACCTCCATACTCAAGTAATGGGAGATATTGACCTTGAGAATCACTGCCGGGAACTGCTGCTACCTCCGGACGGGAAGAGTAAATTGCAGCTCTTTTGCAGTAAAGCTCTTGCGCGACATCATTGTCACCGAGCCAAATGTGCATTTCACCACAAGCTTGGAGCCTGAAGAGGCCATTGAACTTGTCGGACCAATTCTTCATCGAGTTCCATGGCGCAATGGCGTCAATGTCAACTCGTCCAATGTAAGGAATGGTGCTTCCGGGACCGGGAACCAGCCGAAGACCCTTTGGAGGCTGGTCCTTGACGACAAAGAAATGCAGGACGCGATAGATCGTTGGTGTCAAGAGAGCTAAGCATAGCAATGTCCATTTGTATGCGAAGAGAATGTTTGCTCCGTTAGAGCTGGCTGGCACAACATCGGAAGTCAAGTTGGAAGGAAAACGTGAATGAATAAACGATTGTATAGTTGAAGTGTAATGAACGGTAGCCATCGAGATAGCTCCGGTAACGATAGTCCAAAAGACAACGATGGCACTCAAAGTAGGGGTTGGAATACTGGATGAGGTAGACTCTTGTCGACGAACAGACACACCTTTAAATCATGGCGTTCGGGGACCGAGTGCGGATCTTCACCTCCCAGCAATTTCAAACGAATGACATCTCCTGATGCCTTCGTACATATCGCGCCTTCATAAGGCCGAGGAGTTGGGCCTTGCATATATGCTTGCGGCTGGACACTCGTACGGAGGCTGAATGATAGGAGGCGATGTCCAGAAATAGCACCCAGGTTTGGCACCAAGCTCTTTGTGGTAGCTGGCCAGACTCGGCAAGTCAAGCGAAACAGAATGAGCGTGGCCTGATTGGTCACACAGTACGCGGAGCCGCTCGAACATCTCTCCGTCCCGCACACGACTGTTTGCGCCAGCCTGCAAGCACACATCGATTGACATGATTTTGACTTGCGTTGTACACTAGTCTATGCGTAATCATCCTACCTCTTGACGACCGCCCACTGCAGCACGCCCACTTCCTGGACACTTCTCCAGATTGCCATTCGGCACGGAGGATGCATGCATTGTTTGGTCACCAGTAGCGCCTGCTAAGCTGGTTAAGGTGCCGACTGTGTCACTCTCCCCTCGGTGACAGTGCCTTCCGAATCTTTGGCGCAGCTGTTGGTCCTCCCTCCTATTTTTGCTTTGCTGACGGGGCCTATATCCAAATTCCACATCGGGTGCACACAAGCATGGCGCAGGCATCCCCTCAATCTCGCCAGTCCTATCCTCCGCCCCAATATCATATACCGCGCAAAGAACTACATGAGCATCTCCCGTTGAGGAAGTCGCCTGGAAAACAGTCCTTCCGTCAGCCTGCACACCAGAAATCTGAACACGGCTTCGGGCGAGTCAAGATGGAAAAGCACACGCGCTGCTATGGCTCCGTCTGAAAGTTGTCCCCGGTGATGGACATGGATAAGATGTTCCCCAGTGCTGAAGACACTCTGAGAAGGAGGTCCGTCGTTTTGGAAAATCACCATACACATATATCTCGCGACAGCACGATTGAGGAGCAGGCACAAATCTTGGGAATGACTCCAATTCACGATCGTGGGGTTCCAAATTGCTTCCCCACTTCCCAATCCACTTGGAGCACATCTTCTCGAGTGTCTCTCCGACGACCTTTCGCAAATCGTGGGACTGCCAGGTAGTACTTGCAGGGCTGTCGTCTATAGAATCTGGAACGTTCAACAAGATGGCCAACGCCAACATACCAAAGACGATGAGGGCGCAGGTGCTGGAGCAATACGAATCACCATATCGGCTTCAAGAGCTCCCAATGCCCACCATCGACGACCCAAACGATATTCTCATCAAGGTGGATGCCGCGTCCTATTGCCACACCGACGCTGTGCTCGCTTCCGGGAAGATGCACCCACCGCCACTTCCACACATCGGCTGCCACGAGTTCGCCGGTACTGTCGTCTCCGTATCGGATCAATCCCATGGTCTGAAGGTAGGTGACCGAGTAGCTGTTCCTGGTCGCGGGTATCATGTATGCGGCAAATGCCTCGAGTGCCAGAACCCGTCAGGCCCAGTGCCAGACGAACCTGGTTATTCGGTCTATTGCGCCAACACTGGAGGCGGACTCGGAGTCGGCAGCAGGCCAGGAGGATTCCGGGAGTACGCTGTAGTTGACTCGAGACAAGTGGCCGTCATTCCTGATAGTATGACAGCGGTCGAAGCTGCTCCGTTGATGTGCGCCGGCCTTACCATCTATGCCGCATTGCGGAAATGCGAACTTGGACCGGGACAGCGGGTTGGAATTATAGGGTGTGGAGGAGGACTGGGTCACCTGGGATTGCAATTTGCGACGAAAATGGGGCTGAGAACCACCGGCATCGACGTGACGCCGCAGGCGCTCGAACTTGCGAGGAGCCTCCAGACCGGTGCTACGATTGTAGACGCTTCAGCTGAGAGCGCAGAGGACGTGAAGCGGCGAATGGGGAATGAGGATGGAGGAGAAAGTCTGGCTGAGATGGGCTTGGATGCTGTCATCATCCTTCCGGATAGTCAGAAAGCCTGGGATTACGGGATGGGACTCTTGAAGAATGGCGGGCTCCTCGTCCTGGTTTCTTTCCCGCCTGAGGGTTTCCATGTCTCAGCCGATGACCTCGTCTTCCGCCGCATTCGCGTCATTGGAAGCTTAATCGGATCAAACAAGGCAATGAACGAGATGTTCGAGTTTGTTGTCAGAAACGACGTCAAGGCAAGGATCAGGACTTATCCCTTTGCGAAGCTCAATGAACTCGTGGAGGACTATCACGCTGGTGCTGGTGGGAAGCTCGTGATCGACATGTCTTTGAAGCAGTGAATGTTCTTGTTGTGCCGGAAAGCCAGGGTGTTGACTTGCGCCAGGATACAGTGAGTCGTGGGCTCGTCAAGGCTTGATGGGCGGTAGTTGGAGTGGTCGAGTCCATCTCGAACGAAGAATCAGGCTAATCAGCACGATGGAGGGTAGTAACTATAGGTTCCAAGACTGGTCCCCAAGCAACCCTTATGCGGACAATGTCAAGTATTCGCTCTCAAAGCAGCCAAGGTTCTGTGATACTATAACACGGGAGCCTCGACCTCACTAGGGCTTTCCCCGTGTTATTGCTGAACTCCAACAGCTCGCAAACAGTGCGTGACCATCCACAAAGGCGACCCTTGAGCGGATAAGCCACTGCAGGCCAAGAGAACTCGTTGAGTGGACTGTAGCATAGCTGTCGCCTATTGATGCCATACTCGCACCAACACGAGTTAGACTTTGAGAAATCTGCCTTGATGACGGCATCAGACAGGTTGGTACTGGAAGAGTTCAACACAGGGGTTGATAGCCTCTGTGGCCGCCGGCCAGCACCAGTACCAGGATTCGTGAGGATACAAATGGTGGCAGGACGCGTTTCAACAATCACTAGCTTGTCACTCACACGTACGTACGAGCTGATGGTTTGAAGGTCATCCATCCCTTGCATTCCGAATTACTCGCAATATGATCGTTGAACCCTTATGGTGTTGATGCTCCTCGAACTCAAACTCCTCCGGATTGCGCAGACGTTGGAGATGGTCTCGTAATCATGCATTTCTAACTCCACGTCGAGCAGCCCTAGACTTTCTCGGAGGCGTCACCGTGCAGTAGTCTTGCCCTTTCCCGCCATCTCGGTTGGAGGGAATCGGACGTGCAAGCTTGCAAAATGTGGTTAATCTGAGATTGAGGCAGCCTCGGTGCGCGCAAGCGACGGTATGCGGAGTAGCCACCCGGTGCGTTGTGTGTCTGGAGGGGTTCGGAATCCGGGGAGAGCATCATAGACCAGCCTTTCCCCGCGAAATGTACAAGCAATTAAGTTGGCGGCAAGTTTGCTCGCTACGCTAGAAAAGAGTATATTCGAACGAGGATAGAAGAGCCGACATTCGAGAAACAACCGAAACCTCTTCTCGGCGTTGTCCCCGACAAGTCTTACAGCCTCAGGAAGACTAGGTCAAATGTACTCCGTACTCGGAGCGGGCCCACCCCGCGTTTGGAGGCCTGACAATAACAACTTGCAGTGTATCATCAAATGCTGCATCGCGTGCCAGAAGCGCGTCGCGTATATCACCCGTCAGCCAGACCATAGGGGTAACAGGGCTCCAGGGACAGCACCAGCGGCAATTTAGTCGACCGAGGCAACGGGAAAGACCATACGAGGTAGTTGGTGCGCACATGTGAGAAGCAATCCTAAGGCAATCCACGTAATCGGTCAGAGGGCGATGATCGACAGGCCTTTGCCGTGTAGTCGAGAATGCTTAACTACCATTGGTGGACAGCCAAGATAGTCAAGCAAGCTCAAGCCCGGCTAAGGAGTCAGAGTTAAGAAAGCTTGCGTCGACGATCGTCATCTGAACACCTGAAACTTCAGCGCGTTGTAACGGTGATCCGGAGGGGAACCCGGCTGATCGACTCGAGATTTTCCATTGTCGCCCTGGCGCTCATAGCTGTCCAACCAACACGACCTATAGATATCCGACAGCACCACCTCGATACCCACATCGGCTCCCGCTCGCAAGGGATGTCCGAGTCTGATCCCCACAGAATCTCTGCATACGGAGTACTCATACACTGTGCTGTGGGGCATAATGGCTGTGGTGAGTCCTTCGTCAAGAACGTCTGCGTGCTGTAACGACTCAGAACGTGTTGGTGGAGACAAGAGTCTCCATGCAGCAGGTTGATCTTTGCCACGGGACCTAGCTCCCCGCCGGAGAAAGCGGGCTGGCGGTCGCACTGATAAACTGGAGCAAATCCACGCGACTCGTCCTCTTCCTCCAACATTTGTAAAGGTTGTGCTGCCATTGAATACATCCCAAGATGGCTTCCGAAGATCATCAAATCTCGCCAGAGAGGAAGTAAGGACTCGTAGCCCCTGATGAGACCACAACCGCAGCTGACCCAGACAGTGGTGACGATGAGAAGTACATGGGTGAGAAGCAAGAGACACCATATGTCGACCTGCATGAAAGTGACACAGCAAAGTATGCGCAGACTCCCTCCCTGGTGCAAATAAGGCCAAGCTCGCTGACTGGCCTAGGATCAAAAATCCTCTTGCTCACCTCTCTAACGACGAAGTAATCAAAGACGTTCAAGAGTTCGCCAGAGTCAACGATTTCTCGGACCACACCGACCTTCTCATAAAAGGAGCTCTTGTGGCAAAAGACCCTCCAGCCTTTGAGAGCGTCCCAGGCCTCACAGAAGCGGAAAAGGAGGCCATCAGGAACGAGGTCTTGCACAAGTGGCGCCAACCAAAGTCGCTTTACTTCACCATCATCCTTTGCTCGATTGGCGCTGCGGTTCAGGGCTGGGATCAGACTGGCTCCAATGGTGCCAACCTGTCGTTTCCCGATGCATTGGGGGTTCCCGTGAGCGATCAACTGGCCGATGGCAGCCCTAATCCCAACGCTGCGCGGAATCAATGGTACCAAGGTCTGGTCAATGCTGGGCCGTACATTGCTTCCGCATTCCTGTGAGCATCATATTGGTCGCGCCATGCGCACCATGCTGACGTACATTAGTGGATGTTGGTGCTCTGATCCCCTGAACAACTACTTTGGTCGCCGGGGCACAATCTTCGTGTCTGCTGTCTTTTGCTTCCTGAGTCCCATTGGTTCTGCCGTTGCCCAAAGTGAGTCCTGCACAACTTGCTCATTTAGTCTGAGTTCTAACTTGTTCACAGCTTGGGATCAACTGCTCGTCACTCGACTTTTGCTCGGAATCGGCATGGGCTGCAAAGGTTCGACTGTCCCCATCTTCAGCGCCGAGAATGCTCCTGCGGCAGTCCGCGGGGGTCTCGTGATGAGTTGGCAGATGTGGACCGCATTTGGCATCTTCTTGGGCACATGCGCCAATCTCGCCGTAAAGGACACTGGTGCTATCTCATGGCGTCTGCAATTTGGTTCCGCGTTCATCCCAGCGGTGCCTCTCCTTGTTGGCATCTACTTTTGCCCAGGTACGTCAGTTTCGACTTCTCCATAGACGTTAACCTAACGTGCATCAGAATCGCCCCGTTGGTATATCAAGAAGGGCAAATATCGCAACGCCTTCGCCTCCCTCAAGCGGCTTCGAAACACGGAACTCCAGGCTGCCCGTGATTTGTACTACATTTTTGCACAACTCCGTATGGAAGCCTCGCTGGTGGAAAGGCAGACCAACTACGTGACTCGCTTCATCCAGTTGTTCACAATTCCGCGAGTTCGTCGGGCCACGCTTGCCTCCTTCACTGTCATGATTGCTCAGCAAATGTGCGGTAGTAAGTAGACAGCATCCTCACCTCCTGGATGGAACTGACGGGACCACAGTCAACATTATCGCCTTTTACAGTTCCACAGTGTTCTCGGAGGCTGGTGCTTCAGTGACAGAGTCACTCCTGGCATCTTGGGGCTTCGGCTTGGTCAACTTTGTCTTCGCTTGGCCTGCCATCTGGACCATTGATACTTTCGGCCGTCGATCACTTCTGCTCTTCACCTTCCCCCAAATGGCGTGGACTCTGTTGGCAGCAGGTCTTTGCTACCTGATTCCAGAGTCAAGTACAGCCCATCTCGGTCTTGTGGCTCTCTTCATATATCTGGTGAGTAGAAACTGTACTTCCTGCAAAACCATGCTGACCAAGGGTCAGTTCGCGGCCTTCTACTCACCGGGAGAAGGGCCCGTGCCTTTCACCTACTCCGCCGAGGTGTTCCCCCTCTCTCATCGTGAAGTCGGTATGGCTTGGGCTGTGGCGACATGCTTGTTCTGGGCTGCCGTGCTCTCCATCACCTTTCCCAGAATGCTTGCAGCTATGACACCTACCGGTGCCTTTGGCTTCTATGCTGGTTTGAACATCATTGCATTAGTCATGATCTTTCTCTGGCTGCCCGAGACTAAACAACGAACTTTGGTAACTTCCACACCCTTGAACTAAACGTATGCCCTTTGCTGACAACCTCGCAGGAGGAACTCGACTATATCTTCGCAATCCCCACCCGCACCTTTATGAAGCACCAATGCTTCAAGGTACTACCATGGTGGATTAAGACCACTATTTTCCGCCGCAAGATTGGACCTTGCCCCTCGCTCTGGTCATTTGATGGACATGTCGACAACGACAGAGAATTCGTCGAGACTATTCGGAAACAAAGTGAGGCTCAGGCGGGCGGTCGCCGCCGAAGCAGCGTCGCGGATAGAATCGCCAACAGATTTTAAATCCTTTCTCTCTGCAGTAGAGATCTGGCAATGTGCGACAGATGTTGATTTGGGTAGTCTTAGGTGAGGTGGACCACAGACTCAATTTCAGCCGGACAGGAATGAGATACCCCAGCGGAGAACAACTCCGTCTTGCGGAGGACATTTCCAAGAAAATGAGATAGCAGACAGCAAATGGATCGAGAATGAGATGAACGAATCTGAGTGAGCCTCAGAACGGACATATTTCGATGCTCGAGTTGAGTATATTGTCTCATTCACACGTCCTCTTGAAAATGATCGACGCCAGGATCCAATGACCCAGTCAGGGCTTTGATGCTCTGGCGGAAGCAAAACCGGTGGGGGATGTCTTCAGGGTTCCTCCCTCCAGTACGCAGCTAGCACCAGTCCGGGTGCCAACGTCAGGAACAGAGCACAATGTAAAGATTCGGACGGTACAGGTCTGCTGCCTTTGAGTCATTCGATCGCTGACCGTGAACCGTGAAGGTGCGTAAGGAGGAGCTGGAACGCGTCTGTCTGGCACCATGGCCGACGCGTTCTGCCACTTGGCGTGGACGGATAGTCATTATGAGAGGTCGAGATTTCTCCGGATAGTAGCTAATCCCCATGGTAGAAGCTGAAGGGAAACATCTGCATCAGAAGATGTTCTCCGTCACAATGGATGTGAAGAGGCTTCGACCTACCAAAGGAGCCGCGGTTATAGATGCTTTTGGCGAGTTTTTTTTTAGCTACGTCATGCCCACGTCTTGACTTAGGCAGGTACGTACGAGTTACTGCGTACTCCGTATTCAATCAGCCGAGTTCACACCAACGAGGAAGAACAACGGCACACGGGACAACTTTTGTGCTCACGCTCACGCCCGCGTCCGCGCTCCTCTGATGAAGAGCCGATCCACGTAAGAAGCTCAGTCAAACGCTGTATTACTGAACCTCTGCATTTCTCACCATGACGATGGAGAGAGCACATAGCGCGACGCAAACGATCGTCGACTACATCAAATCCGACCTCTATGGCATCCACGGCGCCGGCGAGGCCATCCGCGGCGGCGCGACGGAATCTCGATAGCGTCTTCTACAAAAAAAGGGGGAAGCCAGAGATTGAGAGATCGAGAAGCGAGGACTTGCAGAGGTGAGGGGCGCACAGGATCGCTTTGCAGCCACAATACTACGGCCTCACAAGCAGAGACACCTCATTCGAACGTCATCAGAGCCATGGACCGGGCAGTCACTTCGCAGAGGCACACGTAATAGAAGAGACGGGCACACCTTCCCACGATCCCACGACGGTAGAGCCAGGTGAATAGATACGACGGTTGTTCGTAGGGCCGCCTGGCAAGAGAAGCATTGAATGTGCGAGGGACAGCACACCCGATTGTAAGAGTTTTGGTTCAATGATACCTTGTTCGATTATCGACGACGCTGTGTTCCGTTTCTCCCTTCAGAACTCCGAGATTCCATCCTTCACAATGATCTTCCCGACATCAGCATCTCTCTGCCCCTCCACGACGCTCCTGATGAACTGCCCACCGATATGGGCAGGCTTTGCTCCCATCTTCTTTGCCAAGTGCCTCGCGTTCCCCAGATCTGTTTCCAGCATCCCGGGGCCCAGAGCCCACACCTTCACCCCATCAGCCTTCAACTTGTGGTTCCAGTCGACCATCAACATGTTCAGCGCGGTTTTGCTGCAGCGATAGCCGATGGTCTCGAACTCGATCCGCTTGGGCCAGCCTGCCGGTTGAGGTGGTGTTGGGAAGTATGACTTGCTGGCCTGTGTGACATTGGAGAGGCCGGTGACGAAGATCAAGCGAGGATCGGAAGACTTCAACAGCAGCGGCATAAATGTCCAGGTCAAGACATTGGTCCCAGCAACATTAACGTCATATGCCTTCATGAAGCAGTCACGCAAAGAGACCTTGCCGGCCACGTACTCCAAGTCAAACGTCGCTCCTAACTGCTGTCAGCGTCAAGAACAGATTCATTGTTCTGCCTACAGACCGGCATTATTGATAAGCGTATCAATATGACCCGGGCTGCTGCTGATCTTGTCAAAAGCTGCCTGGATCGAGTCGTCGCTTGTGACATCAACCTGAACAGCTTCCACTGTGTTCCTCGACCCGGGGCATTCCTTCTGCAGCTTGGCAATTGCGTTCTCGGCTTTGTCTTGAGACCGGCTGCCCATGAGGATATGGTACGGCTTTGTGGATTGAAGAAGTGCCTTGACCGTTTCATAGCCGATTCCGTTGTTCCCGCCTGCAACGCATCAGTGGATTGAATCGATAGTATCGGACACGATACTTGCCAGTGACCAGCGCAATCGTTCGAGTTGCCATTGCTTACTCTCCCTTCTGCGAGTTGCTCATCGGCCAATTCTGGTTCACAGGAGTATCCGCCCGAATTCTTTGCACGATCAAGCCAGGTTCTTATACCCGGTGCGAATGCTGAAGCTTCCATGACCCGTTTTGCACGGCCCACCACCATTCCCATCATTTGATATCATCAGGATTTGCGAAGTCCACTCATCCTGAATGTTGCTCCAAATTCGGAAGAGGCTATTCCATCTCGGGAGATACTCTGCGAACGTAACGGAACCCGGAGATAAAGTCATGCTTCGGAAGCAATCTGTAGTTGTAGACGAGCGGACTCTTGCTAATCCCCTCATTCATCTCTCTGAACTACTGACACGGTGCGGGAAGATACTCGTGACAAGCAAGTACAGTCAAAGGGCCTTCAACCGATGAGCAGTGTTTCCCTACCGTGTGGTCCCGGACCATAAATCATGTCCCAAGGACTTCTTCCAGCCTCTGTCCGCCGCGCGACCACGGTCAACGATCTCCCTCAGATACCTCCCCACGAATCCTTTGCCACATGAACTACTCATTCTTGATAACATCACGCTTTTCTGGTTCTCCTTGAGCTTCCACGTCAGTGCTGGCACGAGTCGCAACATCCTGACTCTGGCGCATCCGTTTCATCTGAGAAGGTCGCCTGATACGCTCCCAGTTCTCTTTGTCATCCACTCCGTCCGCAGTGTTTGCAGTAGTATCCACCGCTTCGTCTTCGAGGTCCTCGGGGAGAATGAGGTTCAGTATGAGGGAAAGGAACGCTGTTACAGCGAAACCGGTCTCCATGACAAGTTCAATAGCACTCATCAGACCTCTGAGTGCAGAGTTATCGCCTTCATATGTAAAGACGTGTTCGAACCAGTCCCTATCACAAACTGTTAGCCTGTTTAAGATAGCGAGGAAAGGGAAACGGTATGCCGCCAAAGAAGGACCGCTTCTTCACCGACCAGGTGAGACATACGGAACCAATGTGGCACCAAAGCCAACCGACATTGCGGCCGTCAAGATGAATCGATTGCGGCGTGTGAAGGGGACTGTTGAGATGATACGGATACCCGATATGGCGACCGCGGAGAATAGAAAGGTCGTCATGCCGCCTAGCACCGCCGAGGGAATTGCAACCAGTGCTGCTGCGAACTTGGAGAAGATGCCCATCACGACCAGAAAGAAGCAACAGCAGTACCCAGCTTTCCGGTTGGCACAGCGAGTGAGGGCGATAACACCGTTATTCTGGGCGAAAGTAGAGACTGGAGTGATAGTCCCGAGGCATGCTAACATGCCGTTGAGGCCGTCGGCGAGTACACCACCTTGTATACGGGACTCGAAGGTGCGACCTTCGACTTCCAGCCGAGAGACATCACAACTTGCCGTGATATCTCCTATTGCTTCCATCATCAGGACCAGGAATACCGCTAAGAAAGGAAGAACCATTGGTCTAGCGACATCAGTAAAGACACACCACATAGCTTTCAACCTTCTTACCCGTATAATGATAGCGGAAATGTCTCCACCCAGATAAAAGAGACCGGTTTGGCACTCTTGATGCCAGAATCATCAAAGTAATTGGTCGCGGCCGCAATAATGCAGCCTACCAGTAGTCCCACAACAACGGCGCACGATTTCCTGGGTTTGAAACATCGGTTAGCTCATCTATACTTGGGGGATATCATATCAATATTGGATTTTTCCAAGATGGACTCACATGATAGGACTCCCAAATCGTTCACACAGGATGATTGTCACGAAAACGCTGAACCCAAGCCCAATGAACTCCGCAGACCCCCAGGGTAATGGATGGGGTGCATTGTTGTTAGGACAGTTCTGAAAGAGTCCCTCTTCAGGACGTGACCGGCAAGCTCCAGAGCCACCAGCCCAGTTCTCAAACCCCGTGCCAATCAGGTTGACTCCAATGAGAACAACGGTTGGTCCAGTCACGAGGGGCGGAAAGACCCTCTTCAGCACCTTTGGCGGCGCGAATGACAAGCAGATCTCCAGTAAAGAGCAGATGCAGGCAGTGCCGAGGATAGCACCGTATCCCTGCGGACACGGTAGACGGACACGATCGCCGCCAGGTTCTGACGGTGGACCGCTTGGACAGAACCCTGAGGCGTACATCTGGGATAAACCACCCAAAGAGACTGGGATGGTCGCAAACGAAGTACCGACAACGCTAATCAGCCCGGTGCCGATATAGTAGGGCGTTTTGTAGATATGAAAGCGGGTGATCTGTACGGCGGACAACAGTCCACAGACTATAAGGCTGGTTGAGACCAAATACTGAGCGGTCTGCGGCTCTAGAGCGGCACCACCTGAGCCTGACAAGATGATAGGCGGCGTGATTAGGCCAGCAAGCATCGCCAAGGCGTGTTGAAAGCCGAGGATAAGAGCAAGGAAAATTGGCATCTTATCGTTGAGGCCAAAGAAAGGCGCGGTCTGCTGAGGCTTCTTCATGAATGGCAGTCTGGGGGTGAAGAGGAAAGCATAGTCGTAGTCACCGATGAGTCCTTCCCTGGTCGTGAACGTCTTGACGGCGCGTCGCGGAATGTCAGCCATCCTGTCCTTAAAGGGACGTCTAGGCGTCATATCGGGACCAATGCGGTCTGGCTCCATGGTAGATGCAAGGATCAGTGAGACTGGGGTAGTGCTGTCGAGAGTATCTGTTGCCTCGGGAAGCTTTTGTTTCAGGAGGTTGTCGCTCCAGAAGAAGCCGTATACAAGTTCATATAGCGCTGTGGTTGTACTAAACGCACGATGATGGCATCGAGTGAGGTCTGATATGGGGGTCTCCGATACTCAGGGCGCTCTTTCGGAGCCAATCATGCATTTTCAATCCTCGCCTAAACAGTCGAGTGGGCGTATAAGGAAAAGATCTTCCCACAGGTTGCAAAAAGTGTATCTGTCTGCAGCCTCATGGGAGATGTAGGCACGGATTGTGATTGGCACTCGCTTGTTGTTACGCAAAACCTCGAGTTGTATGCTTCTGCCAAGTTGATATGCTGTTGAACGCCGAGACAGGCCGATAAGCAAGTTTGCTCGTATTGGCACAACACCAAAGCTTCGAATCTGCTTTCGGCGATCCCCAACTCTTGGCCAAGATGCAACACCTCGGATCTTGATGAGCTTCAAGCCTGTGCTGCAGATCGAACGGTAAGTTTGTGGCCAATGGCAAACATCATCCACAAGTCTAGATTTCCAGGTCACACGAGAACCGATTTGCAAAATTGGTTCTCTGAGGGGTGGCAGGTCATCCTAGGGGCGAGCCGATAGGAGCGAGCCGCCAGCTGCGATGACATAGGGAAATGTACCAAATGTTGTCGACCGGAAGCTGCAGTACACCGAATGCAATGACCGACCAGTGCAGACGACTCACGTGCCAATGAACCCTGCACCCTTTGAAAGGTGAACACCAAAGATCATCCACTACAGGCATTTGGAATGTCTCATTGCTTGATGTACTTGTGGTGACCTCTCTCCAGAACTACAACTTCGTCGCCGGCATGAAGTTGAAACGGACCTGGGTCGGCAGGCACCAGTTGCAGGCCTAGACACGCATTCAAGGGATCGCCTTCATCAATGCATCGAAACGACTTGAGCGTTTTGTCCGGTTCGACTGGATGTCTCTCCGCCGTATCTGGGTCGACATTCGGGAGCCTGCAGCGTACTGTCCGGCACGCACAGTAGAAAGTGTGATTCCCAATCCTGACTCTTTTCCAGTCGTCTTCATCGTAGGAGCCTGGCCCATCCACAAGGATATTGGACCGAAATCTCCTGGCACTGAAGCGTGGGATGTCCATCTCCACCCTCTTAGCGATATCGCGCACTGACGCGATGTTCAAAAGGTGCACTGGATAGGCATCAGCGAATCCGACGACTGGCTGATAGCCAAGTTGTTCCTTTCTGGGCGCACAGCGGTACACTTTGCGGTAGCTATTGGGGTCGACTCGGAAAAGAGTGATGGGATTGGAGACTCCGAGGAAAGGCCCAAGGTCCTTGGGCAAGTGGACGCCGTAGTTCAACCAATTCGGAGAGTCTTTCCACACAGTGACATTTTCAGAGGGATACTTGTGGTTCGGCGGAGGGACCAGCGGCACCCGAAAAGACCTCTCGTCCGACACGAACCCAAGCCAGATGAAGAGGCGGAACAGCGGTGCGAGCGGGCCTACAGGGACATGTGGATATCTCACTACCATCCAGCCTTGATCGTTGCTTGGCTTCTTCCTGGCTGGGTCCGGAAGCCAAATCTCCGGCCTGACCAGGGCCAGCCTCTCCCATCCAGGTTGTCTGAGGGTTCTGAACGTCCATTTCGGCATCTTTCCCGTATCTGTGGCGTTAGATCGAGTTTGAGGGTTGAGCAGCTCTGCGAAGGCAAACTTGCGATCCCATGTGAATCCAGCAGCATCGAGTTCGGCGACGCCAAGCTCAACAGCAGCGCATGATTTAATGGGGTGGATGTACAGGGCTTTGACCCTCCATCTCGAACCATCAGCGTTCTCCCGCGACCCAGGCGGCTTCGCATACTTCTGGTTCATCTCATCCTTCATGTTGCTGGGCCCACCCAAAGTCACCTGGTTGTAGCCTTCGAGGAAGATGCGCATTCTCCATGCTTCTTGAAGGCAGATAAGGGTGATTGCGAGCAGAATTGGTGGAATGATAACCGCTGCTTGGTCCATGATGATATCCTTTACAAAGACGGGGCTAGGTTGAAGAATCGAGTCTGGTGATGTCGCCTCAGGGTGTCAACAACGTGTTATACCAATGGCGCAGTAGTTTATCAGAAGGACCGGCGAAAGCCAGAGCTCCATCGCAAGCCGTATCGTCAAGCGCGGAGATATCGTGGTTGGCGGTATGCGGCGGCAGTGGAATGTCCCTCGAAAATGCGTGTCATTTTGCTGAATCGAAATGTCGAAGCCTGAAGCCGAAGTCCATGTGTCGAACGTGACTTAATACTCCACCGTATTGCGACTCTGAGCGACAACGGCTGAACGTGTCTTTCCCTCTTCGTGACGCGTGTCTTCCGCGTCCTTCCTGCTCCCAGCCATGGCAACAGCTCCTGCTTCTTGGACACCACACCAACGCGTCAGTGGACCGACATGAAGGACAGAGTGCTGACTATGGATACTGAATTTACCCTGTGCATAAAGTGGACAAGAGATCGAGCGATCAAGTTCGATATGTATGCGAAGGCTGTAGCACAGACCACAAATGGAGGATCGAGACACTGATATACACAACTTTTCTCCAACCTCATCCCAGCATCGACTGCCAACCGTTACGGGCATCGAAGCCTTGCAAAATGCTACGGCCAACTCCAGAGGCATCTCATCAGGTCTTCCAACTTTGGACGCAATCTTGGTAAACAACAGCATCAACAATCTATCGATTGCGACACCAGGTTTTCAACGCGGGTACGTTACCGAAGTATTTGGCCCCCCAGGAGTCGGCAAGACTACATTCGGCTTGCAGGCCTCTGTCAACGCAGTTCGCTCGGCAGAGGAGGAGTCTCATGTGTTATGGGTTAATACAGGATCGCCGCTGGTCGAAACCCGACTTGATGATCTGATGAAGGCTTCGACGATTCCCCTCAACTCGGAAATGCCTTCCTCACCACGGGAGTCTGTCGATGTAGATTCGTTGCTGGACGAAAAGTTTACCTATTTAGACGCCCACACGTTGCCTCGCCTGTTGACGGTCTTCCTGCACCCTCCCGCGGCACTTCCTTCGCCTCAGACGTGCCTGATTATTGTCGATGATCTCTCCAATCTCCTCCTCGGCGCCTTTTCACGGACTCCAAAGAATCTCAAGCCGTCCGCCCCAGCGGCGGTAAAGGAGAGATTTGAGAAGCAAGCCGCATCGAAGCGCTTTCAGATCATGGAAAATCTCGCCACAGCAATGTCCAAAATGGCTGCGATCAGGAATATAGCCATTGTCGTCTTGACGAACGCAACCACCAATTTGAAGACTTCTAACAGAGCTACTTTGAAACCAGCGTTGTCGAGTCAAGCTTGGGAGTCAGCCGTCTATACTCGCATTATGCTTTACCGTGACTTTGTGGATGAGGCGCAGCTGGCAGAAGCGCGGGATGCACGCTTGCTAGGGTTACGATACGCAGAAGTACAACGTATAGCAAAGAAAGACTTCATCACGGATCCGGTTCCATTTGTGATCGCATCAGGCGGCATTCGGGAGCTGGCTTTGTCTGAAGCGGCCAGCCAAGCCCGGCTTTTCTCTCAATCCAATGGAGTTGCGGAAGCCGACACTGGCAAGCTCGGCGACGACTTACCACTCCTCCCCGCGGAGCTATCACAACCCTCGCAGCTCCAATCGCCAACACAGCCGAAGAAACGAAAGGCTTTCGAAATTGCTGACAGCGAAGATGAAGATGAAGATGAAGAGGAAGTCGTGGTATCAGACCCAGGCGAGCCCAACCTACCCAGCATGGACCTGGTGCCTCGTGGAAGTGAAGATGAGATGTTACTTGAAACGCATGAAATGGCATTGCTGAGGAGAGAAAGGTATGCTCGGATTAGAGGCTCAGAAGATGAGATTCCTCTGCCATCATCAGACGCCGAGGAATCCGTCACGGGGTCGCCTGAGAAAGAGGAAGACTGAACTAAATGAAATGAACTCCAAGCGTCGAACTCTGTTTGTCTCATCAATTGCTGTCGTCGGTGTGGTGATTCTCATTGCGAACCGATCTCTTTCTTCCACTTCTCACATTCAGCCATGCACCAGCTGAGGCCTTGCCGACCAGAGAGCAAGACCTGAAGCGACACACCAACCATTCGACGTTTGTCGGTACATCCCGCACCTGATTTGCATTTTGTCTGACCGTCAAAGCCTGTGACGCCTCCCTGTAGTGTTGGTCCTTCGGACACGAGCGCCAAACAACGAACCTCACAGGTCTCGGTCTGCCTATCTTCCCATCCCATGCTGGGGTGAGAAGGCAATTCGACCATGGAACAAGTCGGTAACATACTCCATCGATCCTTCAATCCGCTCAGGGACTCCCGAGTCCACCCAGAGACGAGCCGATGAATTTTATGAACTTGGGCCGCATGTCTCGACACACATGGCTTCTTCGTGTTCGGATGGTCTTTCATAAAAACTGTATAACCCTGTCTGATTTCAGCTCCTCAGTTCCAAACGGAGTTCAAAGGCTCAACCGATCCAGACTGCGGACTCTTCTCCCAGTTCCACCCGTCACGAGTCCCAGTTTATAGAATGTTTCTTCGCCAGCAGCGTTCCGACCACCAATGTACCACTTCTCAGGGCCTAAGGCATCTATGAATGCCCCCGACGAGTTCGAGCTATCGCTGCCGCGCCTCTGCCGGCCCCTTGTCATTGGCGTCGAAGCCCCGGGTGGGGATATTGACAGGTTAGGATTTGCCTGGGCTGAGTGAGGACCAGGTGAAGTCGTCCCGGGTGATCGAGATAGAGGAGTTGCATATCTGTGTGAAGTAGGGTTTGATGAGAACGGCAGAGGATTCGTGGCATTAGGTTTTGCTTGGTGTTGTGGTGATGGGGTTGCAATCTCCGTAGTGGCCTTTGTAGTGATAGTTCTCGCTCCAGATGAGGTCACTGTCGCCGTGGTCGTGGAAACGTGCGCGGCAGCAACGAGCGAGGCTGGGGACACTGCATCGTATGCCGGACTGGATTTTGCCTGAAATGTCGGATTCGTCCTTGCTCTGAATGTGGAGAAGAAATTGGCAAAAAAGGGCCGGTTGGTGGGCATATTGGCTGTCGATCGGGGTATCCGGCTGGCGTGCCAGATGGCACAGGAAGGACGTTATGGCCTTTGGGCCTGTGAGCTCTTATACGAGGTCGCTCGATACTTCTCAACCGATTAGGAATCTATAGGCGCACGCTGCAATAGGCTCGACACGGCCAGTCCCCTGTAGTTTGTCCGCACTCTTCCGGATTTGGCTCTCCGCACCTTTTGTTCTTGTGTCTGATTCGGAGATCATGCGCGTTGTGAAGGTAATCAGGACGGAGGAGGGAGCGCCTGGCAGTCTGCCACGGTTAGACTGGGCTCGAAATCGAGGTTGTGTGCTCAGCAGCGTGCAGCAAGAACAACCCAGTGTCGCCGTTGCGGGTCCGGGACAGGATTCCGGAATGCAGCACGGCTGATGGAGGCTTGTTTCCGAGTCTGATCGATGGCGAGGCTCAACACAGTGGAAGATAGTGGTCCGCCGGCTTCAGTGGTACAGCAGAAGACGTTGGAATGAATCGTGGTGAACGAAGAGAAGAGTTACGGGCCATATCGTCACTTGCAGACAGTGACCATCGGGCGATGATGGAACCAGGAATAAACCGGGGGAATTTTCAAGCGAGCTGCCTGGCGCATGAGGTGAGTCGGGGTCGAGGTAAGATGGGAACATATGTTGGCGATGTGATTGGCTGCTCAATCTGCTGCCTCCCTCGGCTAAAATAGATCTGGCGCCCACCAATTATCACCACATACAGACGCCGGATGAGAGGAGGTTGAGGAGGCTACCAACTCATGGTAGCATGCCATTTGCTGGCCCTCGCAGCCGACGATGCCAGCCGCAAGACACCTTCGTTCGCGCATGAAAACTGAACGGTAAAAGCAAAACTACTTGAGTCTCTCCTCGCCCTTGGTGTCGTACAAGCTTCCCTGCTACTAAATACCATTGTCCTTCCCGAAATATGCCCGGCAGCCGCCATCGGCTCGTAGGGGTATCGATAGGTCCGGTATCATGACCTGCAATAAAAGCCGTTTCCATGTTTTCGTATCGTGAGATCGTTCACTGATCCATTAGTGTCATGGCAGCATGTTTCGACCAGACGCAGCAGATGAAAGTAAAACTTGACAGCCTTGATGCCATCCGCAAGAGCTTTGTTTCGTTATGCAGAGGATCAGAATATGCGATGCTCATCGTCTTTCGAGTCTTTGTGACAAGTGCAGCTAATCGTCGTCTTCATGGTTGAATTCGAGTATCTGGTCGAGTTAGTCACGGCCACGCCATAAGCAGATATCAGAAATTAGTACCATGTTGTTCCAGTTCCCGCCATGAGATGTGACTGTACTGGGTCCCATGTTCTCAAAGCCAAGACCTTTGTAGAACGGCACGAGGTGATCATGAGCTAGCAAGGCTATCCGGTCGGCAATCTTGGAATCTTTCATCCGTTGAATGTACGACTTCATCAGCACTGAGCCTAACCCCATTCTCTGGACCTCGGGCGCGACTGCTAAGGAATGGACGCAGATGGTACCACCCAGGTCCTGATGGCCCAAAGGCTCTTCGTCGTCGCTGGTTGGCAACGAAGATCTTCTGGTCTTCCAATTCGAGGGAACTCCCATCGAGGCTTCCGTGACACCGGGTGCGGGGGTCCTGGTTGAGACGATATGCGCGATTAGTCGTCGCGGAGCCGGTTTTGACGGATCCTTCAGTTCCGCTCTTGTGGGTTGCGTGAAGAGACCAAGGCTCAACTCAGGGCATCTAGTAAGTCGGTAGAGAAACTAATCGTGATATCATAGGTCAGCAGGCGCACTTCGTGAATGTAGAAATAGTGCGGTGACAGGGCCTGTGAGGTTCGTACCTTTTCGCGGGATGCACGCTCTTCCGGTGGGAACGCCTCCTCCTCGAGTGAAGTGCATTGATCTACGTTCGATACTGACAACGCTTGGTTCTCGGGGTGGAGGTGATCCCATTTGTGCGAAGAGCCACGTCGTCGCTGCCCCAGCCTTCCTGTGAGCATATTCAATAAAGGATGGTTGGCCATGATGTCGTGCTCGTCTTCCGAGTCTTCGTCCTCTTCAGGCGCTTCCTCAGCTTTGTCGGAGTGACTAAGGCGCTGAAGATCTAATGACTCAAAAGACGGTTCCTGAGGTGGCGCAGCAGCGTCCGAGTCACTATCGTGCATTTCCACGTCGTCGGGTTGAATGTCGACAAAGCCATCTTCGTCTTGTGAGGCCTGACCGCTTCGAGCGTTCAACTTGGCAGGCGTCGGATTGGCCGATTCCTCTGATTGGCTCAATCCGTCATGGTTTGGGGGCATTTTGAATGAGTTCCGGGCAACGTTCAATTGGGTAAACAGCGAAAGGAACGTGTTTCTGGCGGGATCTAGTAGCAGCTGAGGTTGGATCGATCCACTGACGGCTGCCGATGATCGAAGAGCTGGGTGAGAATGCTACTCGGATCTTGGAAGGAAAGGAATGCTGGATAGAAGAAAATTGCGATGATGGCTCTAAAGAAAATTCGATTTGCCTCTGATCGAAGTCGGACTAGTGGGTCAGAGTGGTAGTAGCTGGAGGAGCACCGCCACTGTTTTATACAGGCCAAATAATGCTGGAAAAGGGTTTAACGGTATCTTTACTAGATTCACTCACAAACGAAGCAGAACGAGATATCTGGGAACATGACCTTTAAGCCTGAGTTTCCTGAGTGAGATGGGAAGAGATTTTGGCGGCAGGCACGCGACTTCCAGGCAGGGGATGCGGAAGCCTCCCGAGCCGCCTCCGAGGCTGACAACATCCCACCACAGCCACTCTTGAGTTCGTGGGGGCCCCCTAAGCAAGATCAGGATTCATCTAGCATTTGTTCCTGTGCACAGGTGGTACGATATTGGATACTTCAAGGTACCCATCATAGTAAATCCGCCTGCTACCATGTGCATTGATCAATTGTCGGAAGAAAGCCTTGCAGCTTCAGCAGCTGTCAAGTCACTGCTCCGCGGGTCGTTTCAGGATTCATTTGGAAACAGCCGTCCTGCAATCTTCAACGTGGCCAACACGAAAGACTGACCATCGGTCACTGGAAGCGCCCAAGATGTGTACCCCCTAGCGAACCCTTTGCACGATTTTACCGAAGAATTGAGTTTTGCTGAAAGGGAACGCCATTTTCCCCTGATAGCAGCCAGATGCACATCCCCAAGGGTCGTTTCTTCCTTGTAGCCCCTCACCAATAATAGGTGATGCGGAAAGGTGCGTCATCGCTACTCGTGCCTGGAGTACACTGTACGAGTAATTATTTGCACAAAGATCCAATTCTCCCATGAGGCGGTTTGCTTCAAATACACCGTGATGAGAAATCGCCTTAATCCCTCGTCCGTCTCTTCCCTCCCATTCTTCACGGATCAATATTTCCATTCGTTCTTCTACCTGCTCTCGCAACTCCAGCGACGTTGAATCCCAAGCTACCATCCTTGCATTCAAATCTCACTCGTCTATCTCACAGGAGGCTCTGCTCGATACTCCCGCTTGAAATCTGAAAGCAGCCGCCATCATGTAAGTCCAGGCTGCTGGACAATGCTCGGCCACTGTGAGCGACTGACATATTGATAGGCTTATCTCAATCAACATTGTTGCCACCGATCGAGAGCTGCAGACAGACCTCCTCACCTACGATGTCGCCCCTGACATGACCCTGAATGATCTAAAGACATTCGTCCAAGCCGAGACCAACGTTCCTCCCGTGGCTCAGATTTTCCTCAAGGATGGAAGACCGGTCATAGATAACTCGGTAACTTTGGCTCAGTTCGGCGTAAGTGAGGGAGATCTGATAGCCATGGCCATCAGCACAAATCCTCCTAGACGGCGACCCGCGGACGGCACTTCCGGTGGCGAGTCACCGGCGCAGAGAGCCCGAAACAGTAGTGGCCAAGAGCAGCTGAGACTACGAATCCTAGAAGACCGTGCTGTAAGAGCCGAAGTTGAGAGGCAAGATCCGGAACTCGCGGCGGCAGCTCAGGACTCACAGAGATTCCACGACCTCTGGGATTCTAGACGGAGACAAAATGAACGAATGCAGGCGGAAAAGGAGGCAAATCTTGCACGGTTGGAGGCGGATCCATTCAACCTTGAAGCGCAGCAGAAGATTGAAGAAATGATCCGTGAAGAGCGTGTGGCGGAGAATATGCAAAAGGCAATGGAAGAGTTTCCCGAAGGTAAGCGCACACAAACAAGAAGAGAGCCACGGCTGACGTCGCCGTCTAGCTTTCGGAAGGGTCACGATGCTCTACATCGACGTTGTTGTCAATGGCAATCCAATCAAGGCCTTCGTGGACTCGGGCGCGCAAACCACGATTATGTCCCCCTCCGCTGCTGAACGATGTGGCATTCTACGACTAGTTGACAAACGATTTAGTGGGATGGCGAAGGGGGTTGGGACTGCTCAAATCCTCGGCCGTGTCCATTCAGCAGACATACAAATCGGACAGTACAATCTGGCGAGTAGTTTCACTGTTATGGAAGGCAAAGACGTGGATTTACTACTGGGCCTTGACATGCTCAAACGGCATCAAATGTGCATCGATCTCAAGAAGAACTGTCTGAGGATCGAAAGTGATGAGATCCCGTTCCTGCCCGAGAGCGAGATACCCAAGATGATGGAGGAGGTCCTGGAAAAAGAGCCCAAGGTGGAAGGGCCTGGCGGAAGCACGATTGGGACGAAGACCGGAACCGTTATGCCCGGCGCGTCGGCATCATCGAGTGGTGCGCAAGTACAGGCAACAAGTAACGCCACCACTCAGTCGTCCGCATCAACCACGGCTGGAGCATCTCCCGCTCCATCCGCTCCTGGACCTGGTAACTTTGGACAACCGCAACCAATCACCGCGGAGTCGATAGCACGAGTGACGGAGCTGGGGTTTTCACGAGAAGAAGCAATTGCAGCGCTTCGACAAGCAGATGGCAATGTCGAACTCGCAATTTCACTGCTGCTTTAAAATGCACGAAAGGGGAACAAGCGTGGCGTTGGGGGCGAGCGGCATTCACAAATGACATCTCTGGGGGGTATGGTCTTTCGCTTCAGAAGCGCCTCCCAGGTTAGCTCGTCTAGCGTCTAGCGTTTAGCGATGCATATGATAAACCACGACTCAAACAGCTACAAGGTCGCAGATAGATACGAGATGAAAATAATATACGATGCTTCACTGTAGACAAGCACTTGATGATTGATTATATCCCCAAACCCATGTGATACGAGGCCAGAGACACCACGTTTGGGTGCAGGCCCGCCAAACGTGACGGTCGCCAAGCCTGGAAATGATATCCGGAGTGCAACTCCGCTCCCTGCTTCCTGCGGTTGAGCCTCGAGACAATACTGCGCTTCAACCTCACAACTCACAACACCCAGAGACACCGTCCAACTTGCGCGTCAATTGAACTTCCCTGCGCTAGAGCATTCGCGCTCGGTGCAGACTGCCAGTCAACAAGACATGAACCGATCAGGTGGGTTTCCACTCCCATTGCACGCCCTTTTGATCTCCAGCACTCTTTCGGCGAACATTTTGGTTGGAATCTGTCCTTGGGACATGTGAGCCCGGTGATGCATGAGGCAAGCCTACGATGGGGATGTCGAAGAGGGGGAACAATCACATAACGCAAGCTTGAGGAGGATGCGACCACGAAGGGACTGCGATGTGCTTTGGCACAACCTGGAGCTCGAGCTTCCATGCGCAGTTCGAAACGAACGACCTTCTCTTCTGGTTGCTCACTGGGCATGGATGTGTTGTTGACGTGCGGAAAGACAACCGCAAGGCATTCGGTTAGTCGCAAGGATGGGTGGCGATTCGCGCTCAGCTGGTCATGCAGGAGTGCTTCCGACCAAGCCTGCTTTCACGACGAATCTCCCTCCTGGGGATCTGATCTCAGTGACCGCTTTGAGCTTCGGACTTGGCTTGCGCCGCCAGTTCGCTTCCCTGTATCGTAGCGTCACAGTTCCGAAACTCTTCTGGCAGTGCGGGTCAAGATCAGTACCCGGATTTCCAGTTGAGACCAGTCAGTCGCGTGCATCTGCGGTACAATATGTCGTTTGCTGGAAGATCGACCCATGGTTTCTGTTTTTACAACCGCGAATTCATGGGCGCTCAATGCTAACCAACTTGCTGTAGGTCCGGGACGTCAACTGCCCACAGTGAACAACATGAATCAGCATACACAAAGCCGAACCGCGAATAGCAACCGAGTGGTCGCAGGCAAGCCAGGTACGGAAGTCGGTCAACCGAGCAAGCACGAGTTAACAATATCGAAAGGAGCCTGGGGTCAAAGTGGGCTGCCAGCACCAACGCAACAGGCACGAGACGCGATAGCACCTGACAGTTGGGCACAAGCTATGGGCGCCAGACCAAACACAACACAACTCGATTTGTCCGCATCATCCTTTCCCAGTCTCAACAATGGCGGACTGCAATCGCAAAGCCACAATGTTGGATCAAGCGCTTGGCAGACGGGTCCGCCCCAGAACGAACAAGCACAAAGACAACAGATGCAGTCGACACGGTCGCATCTTGCCTCTCGACAGCAACAACCTGCGACGGGTCGAGATGGTTTTTATCCGACTGACACCTACTCGAGGAATGCACCCATGGAGTTCCCTTCGGACAACTCTTCGCAAACAGTGCGGCGAGCAAGTCAAGCCCCTGGTGGACCGCCAGGACTGACTCAGCGGCAACCCAACCAGGGAGATAGCACGCCGCAAGACCCAAGCAGGGTCACTTCACCGTCAGGCCAGACGCAAATTTGTATGTATCAATGTCGTTATCCGGTCTGGTTGCTGATGTGATATGTAGCTCGATCCCCCATATCACAGAGCATCAATGCTGCCATAGGACAGGAGAGATTTCTAGGGCAAGAAGGAAGATCCCAAATGCAGGAGTCCCCACCACAAGCGCTGGGTTTGCAGTCACGGGATATGTTCGCTGACCGGGAACCGAGACTGGATCATGACTCGGTGTTTGCTGGCATGACAGAAAAGGAGAAGTTCGGCATGAAGGGTTATGTCGCAGAGCAGGACAACGCAAGTCCGGCTATGAGGAGTCTGATGAGAGGAGTGGATCTGTCGACCTTGGGAATTAACATGGGATCTCAAGAACCGTTATTACAGTCATATCCAGGACCATGGGCTGAGCCGAACGCTGCCCCTCTGCGCCCCCTAGACTCCGAGTACACCATACCGGACTGCTACACGGTGAAGAAGATCGCACCTCTGTCCACTCGGATCACTGGTTTCGTGGATGAAACGCTCTTCTTCATCTTCTACACCATGCCGCGAGACTACATCCAGATGCTGGTGGCTCAAGAGCTGGTGGCACGGAAATGGCGATATCATATGAGAGAGAAGCAGTGGTTAACCCGAGACGACGCATCACCCAGTCCAGTGTTGCTGGATGACAAAGTGAGCGAGCAGGGGTACTACATCTGGTGGGACACGAAATTGTGGAAGAAAGTTCGCCGGATCTACACACTGAGATACGAGGATCTGGAAGAGCAACCGAGCATGGGCAACCGACCGATACACGCGGGTGCCATGGGTGCAATGTCAGGCGGTCTCAATGGAGGAATGGGCGTTGGCAATTTCAATGCTGTGCCTAGCCTGGAGAGGATGGCTGCCACTGGGCGAGGCTTCTGAGTGACAGCTGACAGGATCGGATGAGGTTGTCGAACCTTATCCCCATTGCAGGCAATGAGTTAGTTAGTGGCCAGCTCGTGCCAGATGTTGATGGCAATTTCCCACTGGCCGGACATGCAGAGTGCAAAGTCGAAGTGCATTGGTTTGATCTGCTGCTGGTCGTCTCCCTGACGTGCTAGATGCCTCACTGTGATATCAGATGTGCTATAAACGTACGGTGAACAGAATTCGAGCCAAGGCGAATTGAGACTAAGTTCCGCCGTCATGATAGTGACGGTCATGCTACTTTGTCCGCGCCAAGAGCATGAAAGCATCAAGCATCATGGCCTTCCATTTGACTTTCACGGCCGGTCAGCTTCGGATTATGCTCCACATGCATTGTTGCTATGTCTACGTGCAGTACTTCACGCCCGCGTTTCTTCGACTTCCCGTCTTGGATAATCAAGTCGCCATCACGCCACTCTGACACCTAGCTCGCAAGACTGAATACATCAGCAGAATCGGCACAGCGGAAGCATTTTTACAATCACCCGCCACGTTCACCCCCCCGATTCATCGCCACTCGAATATATTCTCGACGGCAACCGTGATGTCGCTAATATCCTGGATTTCATCCTTTCCAGGCAAGGCTAACCCCGGCAAGAGCACTAGCATGAAAGGTCAAGGGATTCCCGCGGGTCAAGGGCAGACGCCTGTCGAGCATATCGATTTTTCGACTCTGGCCCACAGAGTGGAAGAGCTCCGGTATGAACTTGACAGAGCTCGCGACATATGTGAGCAAGCAAACCTCGAACTCGACAAATATCGCACAGAAATCCACAGACTCAAATGCACCCTGGACGCAGAGCGCGACGCCTGTTCCGAAGCCTATAAACTACTCATGAGAGAAAAAGACCGTAACAAAGAACTCCAAAACCGGAATAGGAATCTTCAAAACAGCCTGAAAGGGGAGACTGTTTCAAATTCACAGCTCCAAGCCCGGTTGAACACTGAGACTGCATCAAATTCACAGCTCCAAGCCCGGTTGAACACCCAGACTGCATCAAATTCACAGCTCCAAGCCCGGTTGAACACCCAGACTGCATCA